TGGAATCCATTTAAATTTAGAGACTGTTTTCATGACCTAGTGTATAAATATTCAATCTTGGCAAATTCTTGTGCTCACTTAACAAAATATTCTGCTCGTGTTAGGTGATTTCTATAAACATCAATTTGATCAAGTTGGTTCAGAATATTTTTTAAATCTTCTATATTCTTTCCGGTTTTCTATTTGTTCTACAATTTATTGAGGGAGGCTATTGATATATCTATGTAATTAATTTTTCTATTTCTCCTTGTAAATCTATCAATTTTTTGGCTCATGTACTTTGAAACTATCATTGGCTACATAAATGTTTATTTTGGCCTCCTGATGAACTGACTCATTTATCATTATCACATGAAACATATTCTTGGTAATATTCTTTGCTCGGAAATCTATTTTGTCTGATATTAATACAACCACTCTAGTTTTTGTTTTCAATCTGTTAGCATAATCTTGGCACATCATTTTGTGTGTGTGTGTGGTAAGAACACTTAACAGGAGATTTACCCTCTAGCAAATTTTAAAGTGTAAAATACAGTATTTTAATTATAGGTATGATGTTGCAGAGCAGGTCTCTAGAATTTACCTTACACAACTGAGACTTTATGCCCGTTAATTAGCAACTCATTTCCTCGTTTCCATGATGGTTGGTCGGATGGCATCATTGACTCAATGGACATGAGTCTGAGCAAGCTTGGGGAGATGGTGAAGGACAGGGAAGCCTGGTGTGCTGCAGTCCATGGGGTTGCAAATAGTCAGACATGACTGAGCGACTGGACAGCAACATTTCCTCTGCCACCCAGGCCCTGGCGACCAGCACTGTACTCTTTGCTTCAGTGATTCTGAATATTTTAGATACCTCATGTTAAATGGAATCATGCAGATTCTGTCCTCTGGTGTTTGGTTAAGTTTACTTGGCATAATATTCTCAAGGTTCATCCATTTCTTGCATGTGGCAGGATTTCCTTCTTCCTAAAGGCTTAATAATATTCCACTGAAGGTATATTACATTTTGTTCATCCATTCCCACATCTTAGCTATTGTGAATAACAATGCAATAAACATGGGGGTGTAAGTATCTCTTTGAGATTCCAATTTCAATTATTTGGGATAAATATACATAAGTGAGATTGCTGGACCACTGGCTTCCCTGGTGGTTCAGTCAGTAAAGTCTGCCTGCAATGCAGGAGACCTGGGTTTGATTCCTTGGTTGGAAAGATACAACCCATTCCAGTATCCAGCTCCAGAGGAGCCTGGTGGGCTACAGTCCACTGGGTCACAAAGAGTCGGACATGACTGAGTGACTTTCATGGTAGTTGCATTTTTAATTTTTTTTGAGAAAGTTCCATTGTATTTTCCATAGTGTTGCACCATTTTAAATTTCCACCAACAGTGTGTAAGGGTTCTAATTTTTCCACATCCTTGCCAACACTTACCTTGTTTGTTAGGCGGAAACTTTTTTAGTTGGATGCAGTCCTACTTGTCCATTTTTGTTTTTTTTTACTGACCTTTGGTATCATAACCAAGAAATCACGGCCAAGACCAATGTCATAAAAGTTTTTTCCATGGTTTGTTATAGTAGTTTTAGTTTAAGGTTTTACGTTTAAGCCTTTAATCCTTTTTGAGTTGATTTTTGTGTATAGTGTAAGGTAAGGTTCCAATTCATTCTTTTGCATTTGGATATACAATTTTCCCAATGCTATTTGTTTGGAGAGACTATCGTTTCCCCATTTCCAAAGGGAATCTGTCTCTATATTGTTGAATTACTGTTTGTCAGGGGAAGGAGGGACTAGGTCTTCCTATCCCTTCAGCTTGGTGTATCTTTTAACATCCTTGCATTTTTCACCTTATTTCTGTCATTATATATGAAGTGTATTTTTGTAGGCAGCATGTAGTCATCTTGCTTTGTAATCTCATTTGATCATTTCTGCATTTTAATTGAAGTAAACAGACCATTTACATTAATTTGATTGTTGATATGATTAAATTTAATTATAATACTATTAATTTCTTTTTGACTCATCTGTTCTTTCCCTTTTCCTTTTTTTCTGCCTTTTGAATTGACTGCTTCTTTATAATTTCATCTTTGTTGACTTATTGACAAGTTTTTTATTTTAGTGATTTTATTAGGGTTTATAGTATATATTAAGTTACCACAGTCTGTCTTCAAGTAACATTATTCCACTTTACATATAGTATAAAGAACTTGCAATCATATTCTTCCATTTTCCCCCCTCCTAGGCTTTGAGCTATTGCTGACATTATGTAATTTTAAAGATGTCTAAACTACAGACCACACTCTTGCTGTTCTTTTTAACAATCAGTTATATTTTAGAGAGTAATAAATTTTTTTACATCTGAAAATAATTTTTCATCTTTGCTTCTGAAAACTACTTTTGTTGAGATAGTTTTAGGCTGACAGTTTTTCTTTATCACTGCTTTTCAGCAATTGTCATGTTTCATATTTATTGTTCCTAGGGTTCTAGTTTTCCTATTTGGAAACATTTCCACCATTACTTCTTCAAGTGATTTTTCTGTCCCCTCCTTCCCTCCTCTGGGAACTCTGATTACATATATGTTAGACTGCTTGAAGTTGTCCCAGAGTACATTGGTGTTCTGCTCATTTTTTCAACCTCATTTCTGTTTCATGTTGGATAGTTCCTATTGCTATGTTTTCAAGTTCACTAATCTTTCCTTTTGCAATGTACTCTCTCTGTACTCTCATTGAGAGTTTTGTGTTTTTTTCTTACATACTGTAGTTCTTATCTCTACAAGTTCAATTTGGATGTTTTTTAATGTTAAATATCTTCACTAAGTTTTGGTATATGTGGCATATATAAAATAGCCATTGTGATGTCCTCTGATAATTCTAACCTCTATGTCAGTTCTGGGTTGATTGAATATTCTCTTTAGGAGATGATGTTTCCTGCCTCCCTGCATGTCTAGGGATCTTTTGATTGGATGTTAAGAAACTGTAAAACTTACATTCTTGGGTGCTTGACATTTTTATAAACCTATGCAGTTTCTTGAGCTTTGTTCCAAAATGTAATAATTTTCTTAGAAAGGACCGATCCTCTTGGGTCTTCCTTTTTTAAGATTTGTTAGGTGGGACCAGAGTGCTTACTTTAGCACTAATTATTCCCCAGATCACACTGAACCCTTCTGCATATCTTAGTTCTCTATAAATCATGAGGTTTTCAAGTTAGGCTGGTGGGAACAGGCTGTGTTTCTAGCCTGTGTGAACTTTGGGCACTGTTACTTCTAATTTCGGGGGAAGGTTCTTCCCCAGGCTTCAGGCAGTTTCCTCATGTGCATAACTAGTCAGTATGCAGCCGATTCCTTGAGGGACCCTTTGTGCATCTCCACAGTTCTCCCCTGCTGTTTTGTCCTTTCAGTACTCTGTCCTGCAGTCTCCAGTATCTTTGGTCTCCGCAGATCTCAGTTCCAGCTTTTCAACTCAGTTAGCTGGATGGGCTTTGCCTGGGTTCCCCTTTCATGTATGTTTGCAAACTCTCTCAAGGCTGTAAACATGGATGAACTGTAGGATTCACCTTGATTGTCATGTCTTAGGGATTTTTTTTTCACGTTTAACATCATGAAAATCATTGTTTTGTATATTTTGTCATTCTTGGACAGTTTTAGGGTGCGCGTGCATGCATGTGTGTGTGTGTGTGTGTGTGTGTAGGGTAGGAGGAGGAGCAATAAATCTGATCCATGTTACTGCATCTTGGCTAAAAGCAGAACTCTTGAATGATTCCATTTTATTAGACGGTTTTTCTAATTTCTACATTTCCTTTGAACTTAACTATATATTAAGATCTAATTAAATAATTAAGACAAGTTATCCTGATTAAAATAGTCTCTGTTGGTTCATCAATGGAGAAACATGACAAAAAGTTGGCTTGTAATATACCAACTGTGTAGATCAGGTATTTCAGGTGGAGAATGGCCACTTTCTAAGTAGTATACTATTAATACCATTAGTGATTCTGGAGACAATATGGGGAGAGGAGGGCAGAGACAATAAATGCATCTTAAATAGAAGAATTAATGTGATTTCATGTAATAGAAGTTGTATAATTGGGTCAGTGAATGTAATTTTATTTCATGATACATAAATATTAATCAAACACCCAGCAATCAGGCAGATGTCAAGCAGCTAGACAAGTTCTCTAAGGAGGTTACGAGCAGGGACCACCCCAGCAGTCCTGTGGTTGTGACTCCGTGTTCCCAAAGCAGGGAGCATGGGTTCGATCCCCGATCAGGAACTAAGATCCCACACTTGGTGCGTGGTGTGGCAAAAAAGAGGTTACAAGCAGAGTTTCTAAGAATTAACTGCTGTTTATGAAAGAAAAAAAAAAAAGAAGCAGATTTCTAGACCAAACCACAGATTGTAATTTAAGAGGTCTGGGATGGGATCTAGAAATCTGTAAATTATTAACCAACTTAGTGGCTTTGGTAAGAGATAACTATGGAAAAAAGCTTGCCTCTATTTCTTATTTGAACTGGATAAACAGATGATGGGTGGGACAGAATGAACACCATTAGGAGAATTAAAGTAGAGGCAAGAACAAGCCAAGGTGTTTTAGCCTAGCATAAGAGGTTCAGACTAGAAAAGGTCTTCAGCATCAAACGAAAAAAGAACCTAAGGTTTCAGAATAGGGAAATGATAGTATGAGAATGATTTTTAAAAGACTATTGATTTCATGGGATGAGTGAGCAAAGCTGGAAAGCTTCAGAACATTTAGAATGAGGTAATAAGGGTGAGTATCAAGGAGGAAGTACTGACAAGAGTAACTAGAATGTCAGAGAACACTGGTAAAAACAGTCAAACTTCCTATCACATATGTAAGGACAGGAAGTCAGTATTAAATAAGAGATTAACAAATATTATAAACACAATAGTAAGCAATAATAATAATAATAAACATAGTAAGAAAAAATAGTCTTCAACAGGTTTTTCAGATGTTTACTTGCATGATTCTCGAAACTCCACTACGAGCTCAGGAGCAGTTTGTATTGCCTGGAAGGAGTATTAAACAGCAGTGTTAGTTTTCTAAATTAAAACTAATGCATTCGTCATTATGAACTAAAAGCAGTTTACCTTCTCTAAGGAAGATGAAGCAATACTTGCATTTTATTTATATTTCTTCATTTGCTATTTCAGCCAATTTCAGTTTATTGTCAAAGATACAGAGACTGTAGTCAAGAAAGAGAGAAAAATGGACTTCTCCGATAGCATAGTGGATAGGAATCCACTTGCCAGTGTAGGGGACACGGGTTCAATCCCTGGTCTAGGAAGATTTCATATGCCAAGGAGTAGCTAAGCCTGCGTGCCACAACTACTAAGCCTGTGCCCTAGAGCCTGTGCTCCGCAACAAAGGAAGCCACCGCAATGAGAGACCCTCACACCACAGTGAAGAGGAGCCTCCACCCGCTGCAACGAGGGAAAGTCCAAGAGCGGCAACAAAGACCCAGTGCAACCAAAAATAACGTGAATAAGTAAAATAAAAGAAAAAAAGAAAAATCTACTTCTCCAAAATTACAAATCGGATGTTTAGGTTACAAAATGTCAAGGGTGTGATAGAAGGATTAATTCTGGTAGGGAATGGGTATGAGCAAAAAAGGCAGACAAGGGGACTTCCCTAGTGGTCCAGTGGCTAAGACTCCACACTCCCTACGCAGGGGTCCTGGGTTCAATCCCTGGTCAGGGAACTAGATCCTACATGCCGCAACTTAGTTTGCACGCCACAACTAAAGATCCTGCGTGTTGCGACTAAGACTCTACGAGGCCAAACAAACAAATAAGTAAATAAATATAAAACAATAAAGAGAGAAAGAAGACAAGTTTTCAACGAAGATACATCAGAAACTGTTAACAGATTTTCACAGTTCATAAAGATAGATAACTTGCTCAGTGCTGTGAAACCAAATCCAAAGGAAGATGACAGAGTTCTGTATGTTTATTCATTTCTTACCTTCTTTTAATGGAGTTTTGGGAACAAAATTTTCTTTACTTTCATGAAGAAAAGCCTTTGAAGGATCAAAGTGTTTGATACCTAGAACTTTATTCAGTTCCTCCTGAAGTTTTGCTTCACTTTGTTTTCTTTTAGTAAGCTGAGCACGGAGTTTTAACACCTCCTATTGTAAGAAAAAATACAGTCAGTAAATAATTATTGAAGATCATGTTGGTGAAATGTGCTACCAATATTACTGACAATTCCACAGTTGCTCATTTTTCAAACCTTAATGGCAAAAGCCTACTGCATACAGGCTTTCAGACTATAAATTACAAAATGAACAGCTATAACAAAGAAGATAACAAGTCATTTAAATCTTCCTGTCCCTCTATAGGTACAAAGTTGTATTTCTGATAAAAGTTCAACACCAAATTAAATGCTGAGCGTCACTACTGGGGAGACAGCATGAGCAGCTCTGCTGACTTGCTCCCTAGTGATATAAAAAAATTACAAAAAAAAGCAACTACTTAAAGCCTCTGTAAATGGCCTTAAAGTAAAATAGCAAGTGAAGAAACAATTATTCAAGCAGATCCATAAAAAAGTGGTTTTTGTTTTTTAAAAAAGGCAATGTCCTGTTGTGTTTGAACCAATGCTGTTCCCTCTCACCCTAGTCCTTGCTTAGCAAAGCAGAGAGTCCACACCAGAACTCTGAAGCCTGGAGCACAGGGTTCTCTCCTCCCCTAGCTCCCAGTCAGGCTTCTCCTGCCAAGAGGAGCAGGATGTCAGCATCTCTCCTCTTGCCCCCAGATCTTCCTTGATCTGAACCACAGCAAATATGGCTGAGAGGTATGTGTGTGAGGGGTCTTTCCTTCCAAGAAACCAAGGCCCTATTTTAGGTGCAGAGTGCTGAAAATACCCAGACCCCGATCACCCTTTACCTGGCTCATGAGACAATGGTTCCAAGCCAACAGAGGCAAAGTGAGAGACCCGCAGATTGCTCATCTCCCTCTCCCCCAAGTCTACTAAGCATCCAGCTACAGGGACAGAGGTGTCACTCAGAAGAAACCTTGCCATAGTCTCCAAATCCAGATCTGAAGACTTGTCTCAGAAATTCTGCCTGGGAGGAGAATACAGAGCTCCTAATTTATTCCAGCACAAGCTGGAATCAAAATTGCTGGGAAAAATATCAATAACCTCAGATATGCAGATGACACCACCCTTATGGCAGAAAGTGAAGATGAACTAAAAAGCCTCTTGATGAAAGTGAAAGAGGAGAGTGAAAAAGTTGGCTTAAAGCTTAACATTCAGAAAACTAAGATCATGGCATCTGGTCCCATCACCTCATGGGAAATAGATGGGGAGACAGTGGAAACAGTGTCAGACTTTATTTTTTTGGGCTCCAAAATCACTTCAGATGGTGACTGTAGCCATGAAATTAAAAGATGCTTACTCCTTGGAAGGAAAGTTATGACCAACCTAGATAGCATATTAAAAAGCAGAGACAGGAGGAGCCAAGATGGTGGAGGGATAGGACGGGGAGACCACTTTCTCCCCTACAAATTTATCGAAAGAACAATTCAGTGCAGAGCAAACTTCACAAAACAGCTTCTGATCGCTAGCTGAGGACATCAGGTGCCCAAAAAAGCAGCCCACTGTCTTCGAAAGGAGGTAGGACAAAATATAAAAGATAAAAAGAGAGACAAAAGAGCTAGGGACGAGACTCGTCCCAGGAAGGGAGTCTTAATAGAGGAAGTTTCCAAACACCAGGAAACCCTTGCACTGGTGGGTCTGAGGGAAGTTTTTGAATCTCGGAGGGCAACCTAACTGAGAGGAAAATAAATTAAACCCACAGATTACGTGCCTAAAAGCAACTCCCAGCAGAAAAGTACCCCAGACGCCCACATCTGCCACCAGCAAGTGGGGGCGGAACGGAGAGGAGCAGGCGGCATTGCTTAGGGGAAGGACCAGGCCTGAGTGCCCTGAGGGCAATCGGAGGGAGCTTTTGTGAGAAACCAACTTAAACTGTGGGACAGCAAAAGAGAGAGAAAATTAACCTGCCCGAACATGCTGCCGGCCATTCAAAAGGGTCTGAGCAAGTCCAGAGAAGAGCTAGCCGGCTGCGGACCGACCCAGCCCCACCGGAGGCAGGAGGCAGCGGGGAGGGGAAAGGGGCAAACTCGGCCCCAAAGGTGGCATCCCCTACCACACTGCAAACAGGCCTCTAGTTTCTAACCAAAGACTTTCTTAGATTTTGGATGGTCGACATCCGCTGGGAGGGTCGCGGCTAAACACAAGGCAGACGCACCCAACCGGCGAGGGCAGAAACTGAGGCTGGGGCCGTGGAGGGGAGAAGGTGCACCGCACCCAGGGAGAGTGCGCCCTGTCAAGCTCCTGGCTGCCTGAGCTGCTCGGGCCGGGGAAGGCACAAAACGCAGTCGCAGCCGAGTCCGCGCTTTTGTGGAACCTGAAAACTGGAACCGCACGCAACACAGGGCACGCCCCATATAGAGCAGCCGGGAGCCTGAGCAGCGTAGACGGGGAAAACAGCGCCCCTACCTCCCCGCAGCGCGATGGAACTAGCGAACGTGAACAAGAGACCACCTCCGCCTGCCTGCGTCAGGTCGGAAATTAGACAGTGCCAACAGATTAAAATCCCTGTAGATAACACTGACTACACTGGAAGGGGCCTATAGATATCGAGAAGTGTAAGCTGGAACGAGGAGCTATCTGAAACTGAACCATACCCACACTGACAGCAACAGCTCCAAAGAAATTCCTAGATCTATTTTTACCTTTCTTTTCTTTTTTATTTTTTCTCTTTTATTATCTTTTAAAATTCCCTATTACTCCCCCATTACTCCTTAACTTTCCTTTTCATATATTTTTATGATTTTCTTAATTAGGGAAAAAAATTTTTTTCTGTTTTTTTTTCTCTTTTCTTTTTCTCTTATTTTCTTTTAAAGTCCTCTATTACTCCTCTACTACTCCTTAATTTTCATTTTCATTTCACTATAACCTTGCAAAAAAAAAAAGAGAGAGAGAAGCCCTATTTTTAAACCGAATTTCATATATATTTCTAAAATTTTTTGTGTTTTTAATATTGTATTTTTAAGAGTCTAACCTCTACTCTAGATTTTTAATCTTTGTTTTTCATTATGTGATATAAACTTTGGACATTTAAGAATCCAATATTCAGTTCTCATTTTTACTCAGGAGTGTGTTGATTACTCTCTCCCACTTTTGACTCTCCGTTTTCTACCTCAGAACACCTCTATTTCCTCCTTTCCCCTTCTCTTCCCAGCCCAATTCTGTGAATCTCTGTGGGTGTCTGGGCTACGGAGACCACTCTGGGAACAGACAACTGCGTAGATCTGTCTCTCTCCTCTTGAGTCCCCCCTTTTTCTCCTCCTGCTCACCTCTATCTCCCTCCTCCCTCTCCTCTTCTTCATGTAACTCTGTGAACCTCTCTGGGTGTCCCTAACAGGGGAGAGTCTTTTCACCATTAACACAGAAGTTTTATTATCAGTGCTGTATAGTTGGAGAAGTCTTGAGACTACTGGAAGAATAAAACTGAAATCCAGAGGCAGGAGACTTAAGCCCAAAACCTGAGAACACCAGAAAACTCCTGACTACACAGAACATTAAGTAATAAGAGACCATCCAAAAGCCTCCATACCAACACTGAAACCAACCACCACCCAAGAGCCAATAAGTTCCAGAGCAAGACATACCACGCAAATTCTCCAGCAACGCAGGAACATAGCCCTGAGCGTCAACATACAGTCTGCCATAGTCACACTTAACACATAGACCCATCTCAAAACTGATTACTGAACACTCCATTGCACTCCAGAGAGAAGAAATCCAGTTCCATACAACAGAACACTGATGCAAGCTTCCCTAACCAGGAAACCTTGACAAGCCAATCGTCCAACCCCACCCACTGGGTGAAATCTCCACAATAAAAATGAACCACAGACCACCAGAATACAGAAAGCCCACTCCAGACACAGAAATCTAAACAAGATGAAAAGGCAGAGAAATACCCAACAGGTAAAGGAACATGAAAAATGCCCACCAAGTCAAACAAAAGAGGAGGACATAGGGAATCTACCTGAAAAAGAATTTAGAATAATGATAATAAAAATGATCCAAAATCTTGAAAACAAAATGGAGTTACAGATAAATAGCCTGGAGACAAAGATAGAGAAGATGCAAGAAATGTTTAATAAAGACCTAGAAGAAATAAAAAAGAGTCAATTAAAAATGAATAATGCAATAAATGAGATCAAAAACACTCTGGAGGGAACCAAGAGTAGAATAATGGAGATAGAAGATAGGATAAGTGAGGTAGAAGATAAAATGGTGGAAATAAATGAAGCAGAGAGGAAAAAAGAAAAAAGAATCAAAAGAAATGAGGACAACCTCAGGGACTTCTGGGACAATGTGAAACGCCCCAACATTAGAATCATAGGAGTCCCAGAAGAAGAAGACAAAAAGAAAGGCCATGAGAAAATATTCGAGGAGATAATAGCTGAAAACTTCCCTAAAATGGGGAAGGAAATAGCCACCCAAGTACAAGAAACCCAGAGAGTCCCAAACAGAATAAACCCAAGGCAAAACACCCCAAGACACATATTAATCAAATTAACAAAGATCAAACACAAAGAACAAATATTAAAAGCAGAAAGGGAGAAACAAATAACACACAAAGGGATTCCAATAAGGATAACAGCTGATCTATCAATAGAAACCCTCCAGGCCAGAAGGGAATGGCAGGACATACTTAAAGTAATGAAAGAGAATAACCTACAACCTAGATTACTCTACCCAGCAAGGATCTCATTCAGATATGAAGGAGAACTCAAAAGCTTTACAGACAAGCAAAAGCTGAGAGAATTCAGCACCACCAAACCAGCTCTTCAACAAATGCTAAAGGATCTTCTCTAGACAGGAAACACAGAAAGGTTGTATAAACGTGAACCCCAAACAACAAAGTAAATGGCAACGGGACCATACCTATCAATAATTACCTTAAATGTAAATGGTTGAACGCCCCAACCAAAAGACAAAGGCTGGCTGAATGGATACAAAAACAAGACCCCTATGTATGCTGTCTACAAGAGACCCATCTCAAAACAAGAGCCACATACAGACTAAAAGTGAAGGGCTGGGAAAAAA